GCACTCAGAAGGAGCGAACAAACACAAACAGTCGGTCTGTCTGCAGCGTACCGAAGCACAAATGCGTATTTAACGATGATTTGTACAAGAAATTCCAGGCTTTCCGTTGCGTTCGGGACAAGTGTGAGTCCATGTGCACAGTGTACAAAGCAGCACATATGTTTCGGTGTCCAGTGGGAAAAAGCTTTGCCAGGTGAGAGTCGCGCAATGTCAATGACGAGTCCCCACCTCCCTCCCCCCGTACGGTGTCCTGGTTTTGACAAACGCAAATATGGTCACACTAACCTGTATTCCGCTGAGTCATGTCTTTTAATCCGACAGAAGTTGAACCGCATCAGCGACACAAGAGCTGTAGTTTTATCTTCCCTGAGTTTATGCAAATTAGAGATGCGGTTTTAAGTTTCGTTTTTGTGAGAGTTGCGCAAAACTGAATTAAACACATTATAATCTCAAATGGATTGATGTGACTCTAGAGTCATTACGGTTTATATGTTGTAAAGTTGAATTTATTTATGCACATTAGTAGTGCAGATAGTAATAATAATAATGATCATTTTAATATAAAAACGTTAATGGCTAATCGATAATCGATCGTTAATTCTTCCGACGATCAATTAAGAAAATTTCATCGAATGCCCATCCCTAGACACCACTTTTGCGTCTTCTGTTCAGACCATCATCATATAAATGTAGCCTTAATTGTTTTGCTCAAATTTAAAGGTGCGTTGTGTAACTTTTCTGTTGGAGGGTCCTTCACCTGCTTGTTTCTATGGATATGTCATTGCTCTGCCTGGAATGTTCCACAATATGACAGCAAACATTTCTACCTTGCCTTATTTGTTCAATTACAGGTAGTTTTATAGCCCAAAAAACTTAGAAAAACAGGCATTCTGACTGTGAGCGGGGTCGCCTCTGTGACCAGTCTCCAGATAAAAAGGTCTAATACCATACTGTGAAACATTCCAGACAAAACGACAACATCTTCATGGAGAAAAGCATTGGACAGACCCTCCACCAGAAAAGTCACACAATGCATCTTTAAGTCTCCAAGTATTTTCTGACCAAAGTGAAGCTAAATAATCTTCCTTTTTTCCTTTTTTCTCTTGAATATTTTAAAATCACATCAGCAGCTGTCAATACCCTGCAGTTTCCACCGTCAAATTCTCATTAAATTTGTCTTTGCGCCTGGAGTTCGCTGGAGTTTGCTGACAATTCCCCTCTGGGCCAGCAGGGGTCAGCCTCTCGTCCGCGGGTCAGGGCTGGGCGTGTTCTAAAAGTGTGCGTTTATGACAGAAATCCTCTCCGCACAGTTTCTCTCATCATTTATTCAGATCCTGTTGTTTTTACTTGTCAAGTTTTGGCCTTGCTCCTAGTGCCAGCCCTGCCCCTGTCCGCAGTAAGCATCTCACAAGGCTAACGCGTATTAATATTTCAAATGAGGAAAGCAACGCGCCCCAACACACGGTTTGATTGGCGTCCGAGTTGAGGAATATTTGATGCATTGTAATCGCCACGGCAACATTTGGACGAGAAAATAAACAGTTTTGAGCAGTTGTCCGTCAATTTAGTTGGGTTTAATTAAATGGCTCTTCTTGGGGATGTGTAGCTTCAGGCTGAATGAGTAGTACAGATGTGTAATGAATAATACATAGTAGTACATTTTTACACCCGTACCAGGATTATTTCTGTTTTGGAGAAGTCAAAATTGGAAGTGCTGGTTTAATATGCGCACGCCGTAAAACAAGATGCAAATGAATTGATAAAAGCATTTAATTAAAATCTATTTTTAGCCAAGAAATGAATTATTTTTGTTGTACTAAAACAGATTCCAACACACTGTTCGCAAAATCCATCTGTCTCTCATCAGTGTGAAGACAAATTATAAATATGTTGATTACGATAATGGTACCTAACACAGATTAACAGATTAAATCGACTTTTTAATAGGTTTAATGTAGTTTTGGTGCATGTCCCAAACCCTGGTGTAAACAAAGAGTTGCATCAATATCATTTATCTACGATCTGTACAGACTTGACTTATTGAAACGTCTGCAGTGTTCTAGCCTGATTCATCAGCCGGTTTCACTTTGTGGAAACCATCTGACCTTGCAGTTGACAGTTGGCAGATACTTTTTTTAATTTAACCAGACGCTGCTATTTGGTCTTGACGTATGTAATGTGTCCAAGTAATTGCCGTAATCCTTGTTGCTTTTGTGAGATGAAGTTGCAAATTAAAGGTGCAATAAAAAATTCTAAGTTTGTATTTTTATTTATTTATTTTTTTTGGGGCAAGTAGAGATGTGCGTTCTTATACAATGGAACATATAACATAAGTGAAGTCATAATAGAAATGAAAATAACCACAACAAAAAATTGCCCAAAAAGGAATGGGAAGAAGAAAATGTATTTAAACCCACCCCCACTCTTCTAATCTAACACAATGAGCTATTGTTTGCATTTTTCAGACATTTTGAATTAAACTTTATGAACTATATACAAGTGCGGACAAAGAGTCACTGTTATAGCTTGGTAGTATAACATAAGCATACAAACAATGGCATGCAGTTTGACAAAGGAAGTCCAAAGGAGGATAGCGTTTGCAGTCTGCTATTGCAACTCGGGTTGGTTCAGCTCTTCACTGATTAACTGATGTGTGGTCTACAACTTCCAGGGTTCTTGCAAACCGTCTAGTGTATTCCGATTCCTGACCTAGTTGCTGGAGAGAAATGAAATTGAACGGAGGCACTAGGTGGCACCAGCCTGACTAGGAATGTTCCACAGTAGTCAGTCAGAGTTTCCAGGTATCTTCTCTCTCCTGGAAACTCCTCTCCTGCTCTTCGTGGACCTTCTCTGACGACAAACTCTCACCTGCCTCAACCAGAAAAGCGTGGTATTGAACTCTGTCTTTAGGAATTATACTTTTTTTGTACAGTTTTTCGATTGTAAACCCCAATTCTAAACAACAAAAAGTCGACAGATCTGCTGGATAGCTGCAGCTCACACTAGCAAGCTGTGGATTTATTTTTATTTTTTTCTCATTTGTACCAAAAATATTGGAGAACTAAATCAGTACAGAGCAGTGGGCGTCTGCTGGTGGCGGTGAAAATGGTGAAAATGGGGGTTGATCTGCAAAATGGCGTTCTGGAAATAAGTGATTAAAGATTGCTCAAGAGGGGAATCGTCGAGGGGAAACAACTATGGATGATAAAGATGGTTAAAAGCTCTGAAAAGCCAATTTTACATAACAGGTCTGCTTTAATAGATATTGTAATAGATGTCAACAAATTGCCGTGGCCCCTTTTGCACAAATGGAAATAGGCTTATCTAAATGTCATTACACAAACCACTCACTGACAACAGAAGAATCCCATATACCTTCCTCCACAGATATGATCAGTAACCTGTCCTGCATGGTGGTGTCAACTGATTGTCTCCATGGAGATTGATATGTTACTAGATGTTATTATAGATGACGTTAAATTGCAGTGGCGAACCCATTCACCCAAATGGAAATAGCTGTATCCTAAACGACATTACACAGACCACTCACTGACAACAGAAGAATCCCACAGACCTGCCCTCACACGCCCACCTCTTATCCTGCCTCCACAGATCTGACCGTTAACTTGGCCCCGTGCCGTCAACCGATTGTCTCGTTTAATGTCAACAAATTGCAGTCGCGACCTCAATCACACAAATAGAAATAACCGTGCCCAAATGTCATTACACAAACCACTCCCTGAGAACAGAAGAATCCCATATAAATCCACGTATCGTTCGTTCATTTGTTTTTCAGAATAAAAGCGAAAATAAGGAAACTAAAAAACTGTTTTCTTCATTATCCTGTCTCCAAAACCAAAATGGAAAAATGGATAACGATTTGTTTTTTTTTTCAGTTTTTGATTTTGTGTGTAAATGAATAGTGGAAAAAACAGATAATTCCATTTCCCGTTTTTGTGAATTAAACTGCTATGCCGGACTTTTGCGCCGCATACAGACTAAACCAGGTCTAAACCAGGACTAAACCAGGTCTAAACCAGAACTGAACCAGGACTAAACCAGGACTGAACCAGGACTAAACCAGGACTGAACCAGGACTAAACCAGGACTAAACCAGGTCTACCAGGACAAAACCAGGACTAAACCGGTCTCAGTCCCGGTCTCAGTCCCGGTCCTGCTCCCGGTTTAGTTCCGGTCTCAGTCCTAAACCAGGACTGAACCAGGACTGAACCAGGAGTGTCGGGACGGGCCCAGTGGTTTGCTTGCGTACACTGTCAGGCGATCAAGCCTGAGACCGAGACCAGACCAGGACTGAGATTGGGACAAGACTGGGACCAGAACGGGACAAGATCAGGACTGAGATCAGGACCAGACCTAGACTCAGACTGGGACCAGACCGGGACTGAGACTGCGATGGAGACTGCGACTGAAACTGGAACCAGACCTCAATTGACACCGAGACTGAGACCGGTTTAGTCCTGGTTCAGTACCTGGATTTAGTTTCTGTGCTGCTCAAAAGTCCGACCTCACAGTTTAAGTCACAGAAATGGGAAACGACCGATATCCTTTTTTTTCATTATTCATTTAAAGACAAAATCGAAAACTGAAAAAAACTAATCGTTATCCTTTTTTTTTATTTTTTTATTTTTTTCCATTGTCTTATTTTTGGTTTTATTTTGAAAAACGCATGAACGAATGACACGTGGATTCATATACCTTCCTCCGCAGTCGTGACCAGTAAGTCGGGCCAGGTGATGTCATCCGGTTGTTTTCCATGTAGAAAGATGTTACCAGAAGTCGACATATTGCGGCGGTGACCCCATTCACCCAAATGGAAATAGCCAAACCCAGATGTCATCACACAGACCACTCAGTGACAACAGAAGAATCCCACGTACCTGCCCGTACTCGCCCGCCTCTTCTCCCCTATACACACACGAGTCCATTTGTCTGCGGAGTCTGTGACAGCTCTTATCAGCCTCCACGTGTTTATTTTGCAGGGCTGCTCGTCTGAATGGAGCACTTATGAGAACGAGAGCTGTCGCCGTGCTGTGTTGGTGGTCTCTCGGAGGTCCCCTGGTGTTACACAGTTTGTATATTGTGTTTTGAAGCAGTCCATGAGAAATGACATCCTTGTGAACGCTCTGGGGAGTGTGTATGTTAGGGCTATGATGAGTGAGTCCGTTCACGCCACGCACTAAAACTCAAAGGAAAATAATCACTGGATTTTTTTAGGTCTGGATTTAGGACTAGACACTGAGTCATGACAGAACCCACTGAGCTTTGTGTGTTAATGTGAACGTTAAGTCAGCGTGTCGTGGTAGCTTGTGTCAATATTCAATGACTAAATACTAAAATATCTTCCGAGACTAAGGAAAGGCTCGCTACTGATTTTGGGCTGATTTTAGGCCTATTACATTCTTAAGGAGAAATTCACGAGGGATAAGCAATGCAAAATTGACAGTCCAATCTCTCCACATAACATAAAAATACACAATATCTACCCAAAGTTACCAAAAAACAGTTTAAAGTTAACAACTATCTTCTTATTTTTTTGTTCAGTAGAGATTGAAAATTCCAGGTCTGAAATTGTCCAAAGGAAACAACATTATGACAGATTAGATATAGTTCAAATTCTTCTAAAATTACTCAGGAAATGACAGATTTGGTCCTGTTTATGCATTTTTGTCAGTATCAGAACAGTTTTCATACAGTTTTCGAATCAGTCAGTATGATTTTGACAACCTGAGAAAAGGGGTCAGGTGATTTAAGTGAGAAATTTGAAAAAAAAAAAAAAAAAAGTAAATATCGACCTCCTTATTTACTTAATAGATCATAAAAATCCAAGTTCATCCCCAAACTCTTTCAACTTTTCTAGAAATCCACACGTTTAGAATGTGTTAGTACAATTTGGACAACCCAAGAAGAGGTCAAGAGGTTTTGAGTGAGAAATTTGGCAAAAAAATCGTAATATTTCCACCTTATTTAATTCTTTTTAGATAATAAAAATCCAGGTTTAACCCCAAACTCTTTCAACTTTTCTAGAAATCAACACGTTCAGAATGTGTTAGTACAATTTGGACAACCCGAGAAGAGGTCAAGAGGTTTTGAGTGAGAAATTTGGCAAAAAAATCTTAATATTTCCACCTTATTTACTTCTTTTTAGATCATAAAAATCCAGGTTTAACTATTTCAACTTTTCTAGAAATCAGCCAACTACTTTGATGTTTTTTACTTTTTATTCGATACACGTACAAGTAAACTTTGGAGATTTAAGTCACATTCTTTACCACAGGTGGTGTCTTGGCCAAACGTCGGATTACTTTATTGACAGGTTAATTATCGGTTGTCGTAATTTTAAAACTCAGCCCACGAGCCCCCAGCAATCAGCGCAAATCACCGTGTTTACAATTTCCTCAAACTGCTCCTAAATTTATTTGCACAATTGCGGGGTGGGGGTCCCGAGCACTGGCTGCAGTCATTTAGCTGTCAGAGATGGATGGGGTTGACGTGGCCCGGAGTGAACCCGCTAATGCTGTGTGTGGCCTGACTAATGAGGGTCAACAGGGGTCAGAGGTCGGGGGGCTGGACCTCGGGTGTCACAGTTTGTGTGTTGCAATGGCATTATGGGAAATCTATCAATCTAAACAAGAACAAATGGATTCGGGAGTTTGTGGAATGGGAAGCGATTCAACAGGGAACAGAATGGGAATGATTTGGGACACAATGATGACGTTAATATGCATGAAATGTGGCAAATTAAAATGTAAACTTGGATGACCAGCTTAAATATTAGTTCTTGGTGAGAGACAACATTGCTCTTTACAATTAAAAATGACTCAAACAAACTTCACAATTCAATGGTCCAATGATACAACCTCCAGCCACAAGGGGCCAGTGGAGAAACAAAAGTTGAGAGAACTTGAGAAAACTTTGTATGCATTAAGACCTTCCGCTGTGTTTTTCTTATCTGTTCTGATAACCTTTGTCCCTGAAAGGCTCCTGTAGGTTTGACTCCTTTACAAAACAATAGGCTCGATTCACGCTTACGTCACAAACCAGGAACCGTTTGGAAACAAGCAATGATGACTTCTGGGCTCGCCGACTCACTGTGATAAAACCATGGATCTATAATAAAAAACTGGATAAGGCCCTCTACCTGTGTCCCGGTTGAGCCCGACTGTTCCAGGTACTGCAGCTCCTGGGAGCTTTGGCCCAGAAAGAAATTCTCCCATATCACAATGCATTTTTGGGAATTCAAACTGCCCGTGTTTGGCTGACAGGGAATTGACAGCTTTCACAAAAGTCAGATTTTGTAGGGATTCTTGTTCTTTTCTCATTTTCCTAGATTTTGTCAGACACTTACATCCTGGTTTGTGATGTAAGCATGAATAGAGCTTATATACATAGATTTAAAACAACTGTGCAACTTTCTGGAGATTGTATGTCAAGTCAACTGATTCCATGGAAACAGAAAATAAAAATATGTTTCATTAGCCAGGCTGGCGCCACCTAGTGCCTCTGCTCAATTTCATTTCTCTCCAGCGACTAGCTCAAGAATCAGAATACACTAGACGGTTTGCAAGAACCCCGGAAGTGCGAGTCTGGGCACCAACCAGCGAAGAGCCATACATTCTGTGTTGGCAATGATTCCCAAGATCAAGAATTTACAGCCGGAATCAAGGGGAAAGACGTTATTGCCCTTCTTCCTATGTGATTTGGGAAAAGCTTAATATACCAGTTAGTGCCGTTACTGGTGCATTACATATGTCACAACCAAATAGCAGCGATTGGTAAAAAAAAAAAAAAGTTCCACGAAGTGAAACCGACTGATGAATCTGGCTAATGATTAATCCCATACTGTGGAATATTATAGCAAAAATAACATTTCCATGGAGACAAGCAGGAGAAGGCCCTACTTTAGTCCAGATAAGAGTCAGGTTTGTGGAGATGCAAGCTGGATCATCGTAAGAATGCATGTTTTTTCGGTGCAATAAAAACAGCCAAACAGAAAAAAAGCCTTTATTTTAATCTGTTTTCTGCCTACAAACTTAGACAGTGAGGCTTTAAACTTCAGCGTTACATCAGCTATTACAAGGTGAAACTAAACTAGAATGAAAAAACTGGTGTGAGAAACTTGTCATCATAAAAAAGGTTAAGAAACATGCTAATTCAAGTGTCATTATCTTGTGGCTTCATCTTTGGAACTTTTTTTTTTTTGGACATAGGTATGTTTCATCCCATACTATGGAATATTATAGCAAAAAGGAACAACACCTTCCACTAGGCCAAATAAGAGTCTGGTTTGTGGAGATGTAAGCCTGGTCATAGTAAGAATGCATTTTTATTTATTTTTTTTTTCAGTGAAATAAAAACAGCCAAACAGAAAAAAGTAGGGATGTAACAATATCCAAATTTCTCACAGTACGATATTTATTGCGATATTTTGTGGAGGCAAACCAAATTGTGCATATGCCACTTTTCTGTCATAATCAAAAAATAATGAGATTTAAAAGTGCTTTATAACAATTATTTCATCACTTAGACAGAGCAAAGGATCATGGTCTATGTAGTTCTAAATTTTATTTTTTTTTATGACTATGAATTTATGCAAAGAAACTTGTAATTCGATATATTGCGATGGCCCACGATATTATTGTGAGACTTTTGATGATATGATATCACGATATTTCAAAAAAGCATTTATTTTAATCTGTTTTCTGCCTTTAAAGTTACACAGTGAGGCTTTAAACTTCAGCTTTATGTCAGCTATTACAAGGTGAAACTAAACTTGAATGAAAAACAGGTGTAAGAAACTTGTCATAATAAAAAAAAAAAAAGGTTAAGAAATATGCTATGAACTAAACGTCATTATCTTGTAGCTTCATATAATTGTGTTTTTGAACTTGAACTTCCTGTCGAGTCACACAACCCCGAGCTCATTCCCAATTAGTCCCAAAACGCTTCTGTTGTATCTCTGTTTTTATAACGCGTGAATGGCGCCTCCAATTGCCTTTCCTCTCGCTGAAAACGTCCCCTTCATGTTCACATCGGGAGGTCTGGCTAGAGCTACCGCGGCTAACACAACACCACAATCCCCGGCTTGTTTTTCCATTTCCTAAGATGACAATGATAAGGTTGAGAGAGCGACATTTAGGGGGAAAAAAAAAAAAAAAAAACCGAGTTGAATTAGCGTCTCCTTAGCGACCGCCAATCTTCCCAGTGTGTGTCTTTACAAAAGTGGTGTTTACATTCATTAGCACTTGTCTGAAATGTGTCACCGTGCCCTGCTCCCCACGCTAACGGGCTAACACGCTAACACGCTAGCAGTGCAAACAGATGCTATCGAGCTAAGAAAATGTTTTGTCTGACTTCCATTAGCGAGCGCCGGAGTTTGGTCAAGGCTTTACTCGTCAGATTGCGGCAGACGCTGGAATGCGCGGGCCATATGTCTTACGGCGGAAAGTTTGTGTATAAAAACGTCACTTTTAGATAAATCGGTGTTACGTTTCGCATTCCTCGTGTTAAATTATAACATTTTTTTCACCGTTTTATGCTTTATGTTTATCTTCCTTTGCGGCTTGTGATTACGGCTTGACAGTCTAAGCTACTGTGGGTATTTTTACTGTAAACTAAATTAGTATTATCAACCAGCAAAGATATTTAAATAATCACGAGGATCTGGGGTTTGACAGCACTCCGTCAATTAGCCTGAATATAGTTTGATTGATTATTAACATTTTTATCCAGTTTATATAAAGATGGACAGTTTAGGCTTTCTGTTTTATGAAGGTTCTACCACTTGCTTCGTCTCCAGATGTTACTACTTGTTATTTAAAGTTCAGCAATATGGCATTAAACGTGTCCATGTTGTATTTATTCTATTTTTGCCTCTTCAGAGATCTAATCTGTGCTTGGCCTAGACTTTCTTGTACGGGCATGCAAAAATATTGAAATATCAATATATCGTATCGTTTAATGTGATTATACAGTATTGATATCATGGACTGCTGAATCGATATATCGCCAAGACTATTTTTTTTGTATGTTTTACTAAATTATTTTGTTACAGCTACAGTTTTGTTGCTTGTTTAGTGGAAGGAAACTCG